TGGGACAACACACCAAACCTCACTACCTTAGTATCTTTCCAGGAGTCAATTTCATTCAATCTTCCTTTAAGTCAGATCCTCTCTCAATCTACCATCAGCTCTACAATCTCCTAATTCTTGCCATCCTTATTCTACCAGATCCCTCCCTCTTCAAGCCTAGAGCCACATGCCCCTTCTCACCAACAGCATCCGCCCCCAGCTTCTGCAGCAGACGACACTCGGCCACAGTCTCAAAGTTGGGGCCTGCCAGCATCACATAGGTGCCTTCCTGTAGCTCTCTCTTCTCCCCCATTTGTTTCCAGGCAATGTGAGCCTTCTGCCTCATATCCCGGTCGTAGGCATCAGACATGGCAGGGAAACGAACTCCAAACCTGGGGCACAGGTTGGATTATCTCAGATTAATGGAATACAATGAGATTTCTCCTAACCCCCAGGCCAGTCCTTACAATCTATCCATCTATAAATAAAGGAACAAGACCCATACCTTTCATCATTGGGACCTATGAGAGGGTTTTGACCAGAGAAACCAGGCAGGTTGATGTGATCGCGGATCAGCATGATATCTCCAACCTCAAACTTGGGGTTGAGCCCTCCAGCTGCATTGGTGACCACAAGGGTGTCCACACCCAGAAGACGGAAAACCCTCACTGGGAAGGTCACCTTAGAAGCAAAAGATAAAAGATGATAAATTGTTCTTTAAAATTTCACCAACCCATCCATGCAGACATGCATGATATACATCATGAAAGAGAAAGGAGGGGACCAAAAATTACCTAGACCAGGTAGCTAGGTAATAGAATAGCAGAGATGGCTCTCTCCCTTCTTCCAGATTCATCTAGGCTTATGCCCCTGATTCACCTTCCAGAGCGGGTAGCCTTCATTCATGTGGAACCTGCCCTGCATCATCACACAGGCTTTGCCGTTCAGGAACCCAAACACCAGTCGACCAGCATGACCTGGCACTGTATACAAACAAGAAAGGGAAACGAATGGGATGATGCTTTCATACAACACATATCCATGAACACCTACTATGAGGCAACTCATTGTGCTCAACATGAGGTCATAAGGAAGCAAAAGAAGATGTTATCATCTCTGCTTTCAGAAAGTTTAAGTCAAGTAAGGGAGACAAAAATTAATCATAAATTTACAAATAAGTATATAAGTCCATCCTATGATTAGAGCTATGGAGGTAAGGATGTGCAACATTGACATGCATCAAAGGAAGGAAAGGCTTTCTAAAGAAAGTTCAAAAGAGTGAGAAAGCCATACTGCAAGAAACTAGGATTAAAAATTAGAATAAATGGGTAATAAGGAATACAGTGAATGCAGTAACTCTTTTTCCAAAATTTTCAAAATTCTCAAAATTCTTATTTATTACCCTAACTGTAGGCCTCCTTACTCCTGAAAGAAAACTCAAGGCAAATTCTAGCTTTCTAAAGAGGCTACTGAACAAGGGGAAATGGGCAGAGTTTGGATCCATACAAGTCTCCTCCATTAGACCCACAAAACAGTCCTGTGGGAGCAGATGCCCAGGATGGCGCAAGCAGGGGATAGGAGTGCAAAGGTAACTCCCACCCAGATATTATAACCATAATTACCATTTCCCTCATCTGGCAGTTCTCCTCTAAGGCACACAGCCAACCTATCACTTAGGGAATGGATGTTCTGGGAGAGGCACCAAAACCAAGAGGAAGAGTTGACAGACACACAGAGATATAGGAGTTTATAAAAAAAATGACCAGTATTAGAGCAAAGGTGACAGAGATTGCAAAACTCAAGTGGAGTACAAAAAAATCGGTTGATAAAATTTAAAAATTAATCCGCTTCTCACTAAGTGCAATGCCCTTCTCGCTGGGGATAGGAGTGGAGCCAATGTCACTACTATCTCCCTTAGAAAACTTTGCTCTACCTCTCTCTTTTTAATATTTCCTTCTCCAACCCCATTCCCACCACCCCGTCTAGTCTACCAGTATTGCTCCAGGGATTTGAAAAAGATCTGTGCAAAGTCACAACTCTCTAGGGAAAAGAGGAAGGTAGAAAGCAGAAAAATTTATAAACAAACCAAGAGAAGTTAGTGATCTGAGAAATGAATCAGTAAACCAAATAAACTATCTTTGTCCTATTTCACCTGGTCCTTTTCTAAGCCCTAGTCTTAGAGCTTTCTGGCTGCTATTGGGATGCTGGATACGCTCTCCTCAGATTCCTCGGAGCTCCACTGTGCACAGGGTGCATCTGCCCCTTTCCTCTCCCCTCCAAAGGGTCAGTGTGAAGCAGATCCTGTGTGTTCACGTATTATCTGTGCATCTGTCTGCAAGAACAAAGCATTCTGCCCATTTGCTGCTGTGCACCAGTGTCTAACTTATCCTGGGACTGGAGTTAGAGCTAGGAGATCGGGAATGGCAGGAGGACATAGGGCAGGGATGGCCTGATCCTGTCCCGGGCAGTTACAGGCACTGCTTTTTCCATTAATGCTGCAGACTGAAAGAAATGAGAAAGAGGTGTGTGTGTGAGTCTGTGGTGACCATGGTATATGGGGGAGCAGTTGAGGGAGGTGTTGAAGAGCATTAAGGAACTCTGAATCATTCAAGCATATGAAACAGGTCATCATATAGTACCATGACACACACACGCCCTGTCTATTCTGAAATTCCTACTGGGGAAATTTCCCTCTAAAGTCATTCTGATTCCTGTGGTCTTTTCTCCTCCATCACAACAGTTGTCTCCAGTCAAATGCTATAGAGGATAACCAGCTCCAGGCACGGAAGCATTGCCCTTCCATCAGAATCCCATCAACATCCCCCAGTGCCATCCCTCCCTCCCCTGGCCAGTACCTGTACTTAGGGGAAAGTTTGGTATCTCACTGTAGTCAAAGCTCTGGGCCTGAGTTAAGTGATTAGCCAGACCTCCTAACCCAGAACCGCAGATCACCGCCACTTGAGGGCGGTGCTTGGTGTGGGACAGAAGCCACTGTGCGGTGGTCTGATAATCTTCATATGTGAACCTAGGAGAAAGGGAAAATCAAGGTGAGTTTCACTTCCAGCCCAAGAGCGTCACAGACTAATGAGCATAGGTGTAGAAAGGCTGGCAGGTGTACCGAGGTGGCAGGGGACAGAGAAGCTGGTCAAAGAGGTGCCCCAGAGGGGAGGCTCCTCTCTCTCAGGAGAGGCTGCACTGAGCTCACCCACCCACCCACCCACACACTCCTCTTTCTGAATCAGACTCACTAAAGGTCTGATATGAAACGCCCTCCTCTCTGTCTCCACCAGCAGCCCCAACCCCAGTTCTGCCACCACTGGCCGGTTTAATATCTCTCCTTAGGACAAAGATTTAGAAGAAGGGACCATCAAGTCTACAGACAAGTACAGTGAAATAATCAAATCAAGGAGGGTAAAAGTGCTGGGCCTCAGGAGGCAGGCCCAGAAGTACACTCAAAAAGGAACTAAGACCTTCCCTAGGGCAGTGACAAACCCAATGCACCCCTCCTTAGTACCCACTCGGGACACTCAAAATGTAATTAAGACTAACTACCCAGAGGGCAAGGGATGAATCCAATTTCCTTCTGGACCCTCACCCTCCAGCTCTCCCCTCAGACAAATACTTAAGGGCTCAGGTTTTTGATTGACAAAGGCAGTGATAGAAACACTCCTAGTGGAGTTGCCAGGGGTAATTCAAGCCTGGACTAGACAAGCTACCCCACGAAAAAGCAGATCCCGTTCACAAAATGGTTGTCAGCGCTGGAGTAGAACCGACTGCACAACTTTTCACAGCAGCTTTGTTAAAAATAGATTCTGGGGGCCAGCCCAGTGGTGCAGTGGTTAAGTTCACATGTTCTGCTCCAGCGGCCCGGGGTTCACCAATTTGGATCTCAGGTGCAGACCTACGCACTGCTTGTCAAGTCACGCTGTGGCAGGCATCCCACATAAAGTAGAGGAAGAGGAGCATGCATGTTAGCTCAGGGCTAATCTTCCTCAAAAAAAAAAGAAAAAAATTGTAGGGCCCACCCCTCCAGATTCACAATTCTGGGGAGAGACCCCAGAATCAGTATTTACAAAAGTGCCTCAGGTAATTCTGATTAAAAAACCAGGTTTAGGGGCTGGTCTGGTGGCGCAGCGGTCAAGTGCGCACATTCTGCTTCGGCATCCCGGGGTTCACTGGTTCAGATCCTGGGTGCGGACATGGCACCGCTCATCAAGCCATACTGTGGTAGGCGTCCCACGTATAAAGTAGAGGAAGATGGGCACGGATGTTAGCTCAGGGCCAGTCTTCCTCAGCAAAACAAGGAGAATTGGCAGATGTTAGCTCAGGGCTAACAAAAAAAAAAAAAACACCAGGTTTAGGAATTTCTGGTCTAGAGGGAAGCAACTCGACTTGGACTATAGTCCCAATTTTGCCTTTTTAGGCAAATAACTTATGCTTCAAATACTTTCCTCAGATATAAACCAAGGGGAATATAATCAGCCCTGTCTATCTTACAGAGTCAGTTTGAAAATGAATTAAAAACTTGCTAACAAGCTCCAAAGATCTTTGACTCCATAAATCATGGTTCAGGTCCCCAGCACTTGAACCTTTCTGCCACTTTCCCCCATGTCTCTGTTCTCCTCCCTGCCTTCCCCATCTTCTCTTCTCTTCACCAACATTCTTTGCCCTTCAGAGACTTAAGGACAACACCTGCCCAGAATCTATACATCCCAAGAATCAAACTAGAATTTTCCTCACAATTCCAGTCCAATTCTCTCACAGCCATGAACACAGCTAACCAAGCCTCCAGAGGAAATTCTTTTCTTCAAAAGCAGAGCCTTTGAAACCAGATGACTCTACAATACCCCAGCTTCCCTCAGAGAAGTAGCTGAGTAAGGCACAGGGCAGGGGCCCTAGAGCTGGGGCCACAGGAGGCTGGAGAAGAGAAGCAATGAAATGGTAAAAAGTGAACCAAACAGCATCTTCAAGAGGTGCAAAGGAAATGAAGGAAGTGTGAAGCCATAGTCACCTAGCATTTCTAGCCACAGCCATAGGACTTCCTCATTGGCCATCAGTGCCCTGAGCACGACCTGGAGCCCTGAGCATCCAACAGCCATTGTGATCCCTAAAGCTGGAGACTTGAATTGGCATTTCCAGGACCAAAGCAGAGAAAGAGGTTTTCAAAGGTGGGAGTGAGGGCCAGTGTGCAGGGTATGTTGCCTGATTCATGGAATAAGGATTTTCTTCTCTCCTTGGAGACACTGTCCCCAACTCAATTGGACCTCCAATTTTTTTTTCTGTTTTATCTCCCCAAACCCCTCCTGTACACAGTTGTATATCTTAGTTGCAGGTCCTTCTAGTTGTGGGATGTGGGACGCCGCCTCAACGTGGCCTGACGAGCAGTGCCATGTCCGCGCCCAGGATCCGAACCCTGGGCCAACGCAGTGGAGCGCGCGAACCTAACCACTTGGCCACGGAGCCGGCCCCTGGACCTCCAATTTGGAGGGAAGGGAGGTGTTGGCGAGGGACCTGAGCAATCTCTCCTCTGAAGGAGGAACTCTAGATATGGGCCCCAAAACTACCTTGTTGCTTTACCTGGACTCTAGAATGGGAATCTGTGAAGAGCACGTGCAGTGGGAAGACTTTTGCCCTGTATTGGGGGGAGGGGGTTATGCCCCTCTCTAGACTTACACCCCCAACGTGCACACGCACACATACACACAAACACACTGGCTTCTTTTCGGAGTACACTACACTCTACTAACCTGTCCCCTTCCTGCTCCACTGGCGCCACCCTGACTCCATTCCCGCGCGCGTCCCTGCCCGCGCCGGCCGCCCCACTGCTCAGCGCTTTGGCCCTGACCCCGGGCTCCTTGCCAGGGCTCTCTGCAGCTCCAGGGCGCCCGCTCCCTCTCCGGGCTCCCTCAGGGCCCAAAGCCGGGTTTCCAGGTCTCAGTGACAGCCATTTACCCACCCCCCCACCCCCCTCCAGGGGTCGCCAGGGTTCCCCCGGCCTGGTGCCCGCCTCACTGGGTCGCCATGGGGCCGCTGACGTTCTCTGAACAAGCCCGCCCTTCGCCGCCGCGATCTGCTCCGCTGAGCTGAGCTGCCGCCTCCCTCCGGTCAGGGCCGCACACTTAGCGCGCTGTCTGCTCGGCGCTGGCTTATCCCCAGCCCGGAAGTCCCCAGCCAATGGCAGCCGAGCACGCGGGCCAGTCCTATCTCCAAGGTGACACACTCTGATTCAATCGCCCCAGGCTTGGCTGCAAACCTAATCCGAGTTCTCCCCGGGGCTGGATCCTTTCTCGAGCCCCACCCGACTCCCGGAGGGGCATCAAGCGTTTCATCCCTGCATCCATTCCAGTCCTCAGGGCCGGGGTTTCCGGCAAGGAGACCCCCGAACCATCTGTCTACAGCCCCATTCCTGGGTGTCTACAGCGAACCGTGAGAGATTTTAAAGTTTAAATTTTTAAACCTTAGATCGTGGAACACCAGAATATAAGTGTAACTGTGTCTGAGCTGCTTCCTGAAGAAAGGAAACTGGGTCGACGGAGCAAGCAACGCTGCTGACCTGGAGGTTACAGGATTTGGGGGAACACATCGGGGGGATCTAAATCCAGGTCCAGATGGGGTGAAGAGAAAAGTTCTACAGGCAAGAATTCCTGGATCCTGGACACCGACAGAGAAAGGATGGGGATAGAGTGGGGATGACGTGGAAAAAGCCAGACAATCCCGTGATTTACGCAATACTGGACCAAAGCAATTGGGAAAACCGGAGGACTCCTCCCAGTATGGAAATTCCTGAAACAGAACTACACAATATAACGTCTTTGTAAGAATTCAGCTGTTTCCTCTCCACATTTGCAAGTTTAACCAGCCTCCCATAAAATCACTACTCACTGGCCCTTGCTTGGCTGTTGGAATCCTCTACCTGTCTCCACTCTCCTGAAACCTCATCTTTGCTGCTTGCCATTTCACTCACCACCATGGCCCAGGTCACTCTTTCCCAACCCTGTTTCTATCTCAGTCATGGAAGAAATATTTATTGAGCATCAACTATGTACCTCCAATGTTCTAGTGCTAGGGACAGAGGAGTAATGACAATATATGTAAAGAAAAAATAATATACATAAACAACTGAGCCCAGTGCCAAATGAACAGTTTATTCTTTTCTCCTTTTTTAAGATTTTATTTTTCCTTGTTCTCCCCAAAGCCCCCTGGTACATAGTTGTATATTTTAGTTGTGGGTTCTTCTAGTTGTGGCATGTGGGACACTGCCTCAACATGGCCTGAAGAGGGGCGCCATGTCGGCGCCCAGGATCCAAACCAGTGAAACCCTGGGCCGCTGCAGTGGAGCCCGTGAACTTAACCACTTGGCCACAGGGCCTGCTCCCTGAACAGTTTATTCTGTCATCATTATTGTTATTGGTTTATGATTATTATTATTATTATTATTACTATCCTTATTCATGCAGTAATTCTAGCAAAAGTAAGAACAGGGTGATCTAAAAGTAAATCATAGTGATCTTAGTAATGAGACTATGAACAATTGAAACATTGAAAGCACGATTTTAAATGATGGATAAGGTCTCTCATAAGTAAAAAATCAGCCCAAGGAAATATCTAACCATATTTGATTGTTGAAAGGTTTTTTTAAAATAACCAAATCCAATCTAGTTTACACAAAAGACAAGATTAGAACGTGATTATATCTGAAATAATGCAAACGATTAATTTTAATGGAATCTGCCTAAAGTAAGCGTATGTAAACCAAAAGGAGATGATCTTCAATATATTTACAAAAGGAAAATTGAGGGACAATGTTTAACCTTCGGAAGTGTTTCTCTGGTGTCACGTGGGGAAGAATCTGCAGTATGTATATATAAACATTCTGTTCACCAAGGAAATTATGTGACAGGCAAAGGCAGTTTACCAGACTGCACCTTGGCCAGGGTGACATGACCTTCAGAACTGTGTGACATACTTTATTCTGAATTCAAGTTCAGCAACCATAATCATTGCATAGTCACTTGGACCTCCTATCTCTTTAATCTTGGATTCATCAATGGCCCAGAGAGGATCTACCCTACAAGAATCAGCATGCCTCCTGCAACCACATCTTTATCTTGTGGTCTATCCAACAAGAGGGCCCAGGCTCCAGGTTGCAGCCAACCCTACCCTGGGTCAAGTCCTACCCCTAAAGTTGGTTTGTTTACAGCTCTTACTGCTTCCTTCACAGGTTTTTGACCTCTGAAGGCATGGATTCAGGTGCTGCATGTGTATCTGCTGCCCCGTGAACACTGGTATACAGCACACACTTAGTAGTCAAATATATGAAATGTCTTAAATGTCTATCATATCTCTTTAGGTCATTTCAAGGCAAGTGCCCATACTCTATTCCTTTATGATTATTTTGATCTGTTTTCAACATCCTAGTCCAGAGGTTCCCAATTTCTCAGTTTATAATGTGCTTAGCATCTCAGCAATTTTTTCACAGCACCCCTAGTTCTAAAAAACTACCTAACAGTTTTGCTTTTGGGGTAGTTGGTTCCTAACTTAGTAACCATCTGAAAAAAAATAATACATACAAATTGAAAGAAAAAGTATTTTTTAATTTTTTTCTTAAATAGCCACAAATAGTTACTAATGGGATGTATGCACCTGTGGGACACTGCACAACTTCTCAAACCTTGGAATCCAACACTGCTACCCTCATTTCCTGTTTCGTGCTGATTTTCACACAGTACTTACTTTTTTATCCAAGGTCCAAGGGACCTCCTAAAACCCAGCTTTGCAAAGATATTTTGCCATCAAAAGGAATATAACACAACGTAATGTTCAAACTGTGAATTACCTTGAGCTAGTAGTTTGCATGCTACACAAGGGATGTCGAGTATTCATGTGTTCCCCTTCAAAATTTTAAATATTCCATTGTACCCCTGTGAATTTGCACCTTAGCACAGAGTTTGGAAACTATGGCCCTACTCATTCCATGTCACCGCATTCCTGAATTTATGTAGTGGAAATGAGTGGACCCTAGTCAAACTACCTGTGTATCAATTCCATCTCTACCCCTTACTTAACAGCTGAGTGATCCCAGGTAAGTAAAATTCTCACTATGCCTCAGTTTTCTCACCTGTAAAATGGTGACAATAATAGTACTTACTGCTGTTGCAAGGGTTACATAAAATGCCTGTTAAATGTTTAGATAAGTGCCTGGAATTACAGTAAGCACATAGTAAATGTTGGCTATTATTATTCCTTATTGTGTCTTTTTCTTTTTGATTTCTCCTAGCCCACCTAACTATGAATTGGATCAGAAGAAAAACTGGAAGTACACCCAGTCCATCAACACAGACTCTAATTCTGCAGTGTTCAAAACAGTAGCCACTAGGCACACGTGGCTATTTAAACTTAATACAATTAATTACGATGACATAAAAATAAAAATTCAGTTCCTCAGTTATACTAACCACATTTCAATTTTTGAATAGTCACATGTGGCTGGTGGCTACCATATTGCATAGCATAGAAACATTTCTATCATCACAGAAAGTTCTTTTCCACAGCACTGCTGTTACCTTTTCTAGTCACTGCTACCCTGTATCCACATAAAAGAAGCTGGAACTATGTTTTATTTTATACTTTTAGAGTTCTTGTAGTCAGGAATCAAACAATCATCAATCTTGGAGTGATTATAGCTCATTACTGCCTTAGTACCCTTTCTTCTATCTTCTTATCACTCCTTCTGCTATCCTCTGAGGGACTCCCATGTCCAGGCACATACTCAGTAACACACCCATCTTCCACACTCAAGGTCAAGGAAACTGAAGAACAGACGTGACAGGTTCTAAAGAACTGAGCATTGCCTTATGGAGTGCGGAGATGTCTCCGGATAATGACTCCCAATGTCAACACTTAAAGAAGCAGGCTCAGCTTCTCAGGATTCTTTAGGCAAGAAACCTATTTTATTCCTGCTCTCTTGACTGAAATTTCTCATTCTCTCTAGACCACAGGATAAATGTTCTCCTCTTTAAACATCTACCCCACCACCACCCAGATTCTTTGACCTCCCATTTTCTCCAATTCCTGAAATTAAAATATTATTTTAGTTTAGCGCCCCCCCCCCCCACCAATTAAAGGGATCACTTTAATTTCTCTTCTCTAAGAGTGAGATCCCCATATCCCTGTCTGTGCCTCACTCAGAGGCAGGAACAGAGCAGAAATTAAAAAAAAAACTAACCTAACACCCTCAATTCCAAAGACCTTAGCTCCAAGATAGGGAAGCCGATTATAACCCAAAGAAAAGGGCAAAGGACATGCACAGACCCCAAAGGAGCAAAGGCTTAGTGTAACAAACAGAAATTAATCCCTTAAACTAGACCCTACCATGCTCTACCCATCCAACCCCCATACTACTCCTCAGCTTGGTTAACTCACTCCTTGTGTTACCAAAAACATTCTCTCCCCTGGAAATGGAGTAAGGGACTGTGCCGTTTTCACACAGGTGGTAAACCACCACTTCAGGAGAGGGGAAAGAAGAAACAGAGCATGTGGAAAAGAGAAATCAAATTGGGACACTGTGGGCCACAGAAGCCAAGCAGATGTTTCCCACCCCATTCTCTACCCAGCCTCGCAGATAGTTACCACCTGGTCGGAACCTGAAGAAAAAATGCTTCCAAGTCTTTGCAGTGTCTTTCTTGACATCCTCCTATTATGGACTGTTATGGACCGTTCCCTCAAAATTCATGTGATGAAA